CCACGATGACCACCTTCGCCATGGCACAGGGGCGGCTCAAAGGGGGAAGCGGTGCAGCGCCACACGAAAAGCTTCAGAGCTGTGAGGCTGCAGCAAGGATCCACAACGTAACATTTCCCAAGCCAATAGCCCAGCTAACGTTAGAAAATGCATCAAGGCGACTGCAGTCAAGTCCAGCACATTCACGCCTTAACCGCAGCTTTGAGCCCACCAGGGACCGCCTCCAACATGTCAAGATTGCTTCTTGTGTCCACCTCAGCTGGGAAGCAATGTCTGCATGCTTCCTGTCAAAATTGTCCAACTGCTCTGGACAGCCAAAGCACACCGAGGTTGGGATAGCCCGCCCACAAAAGTACCTGGTCTACGCCTCCGAAGCGCTCAGTGAGATCGTCCAGATATCTGGCCTGCACGCGAAACATACATAGGCCGTCCAGAACATGGACAAAGCCAAGATACTGAAATTCCATAGTGGGAAAACGCAGTTCTACGGAGCGCCCACGTCTGACATGATGTCGTCGCATGCCCTACAGAAACTGACCAAAACCACAACCATTGCTACGAGACGCCGCCGTCCATTTATGTTTCTTCGGATTGTACAGCCGTCGGTCGTGCACCATTGTTTGAACCTCAGGACGAGATAGCAGCAGCATGTGCAGTTGCAATCCGTTTACACACGTCAAGCGCCGAGATACTGTGACGTAAGCTGCACTGCTGCGTTTGAACTCTGCGGATGTGTACTCACCTGTCTCGAATGCCATGCATGCATCAAAATGATAAGCCCGCATGGTGCGAGTAGAAACCCTGCTCAACTTCTGTGCGAGTGTTTTCAACAAGGGGAGTCTAGCAACGGGCGTCTAGCAGTCTAGCAACGCTCGACAGCAAGATCAGCAAGACTTCCATGTGGGTCATCGCAAAAGTCCCCTAGATGATCACGAAAACTCCAGGAAAAGGTTGCTTTCGCAGAGCTGGTTTTGTCACAGGCATCGGCTCCATGCTCTGACGGGCAGAGCAGTGTTTTGTCGTTCGAGCTTGGCCCACCACCCTGTTAGCAATAGCTATAACAGGGTATATATACATATATATTGGGGTTATGTAAAGATAATGGAAAAGAAAATGGAAACTACTATACTTTAATAGGGTGGAGCTGCATCTGCTAATCGTGCACAGGACGCGAGGCAAAGCCTTGGCATGTGACTGCAGATCTTGATTCCAAGCCACTGGGTTCCAACACTGATGGCGTTTAGAGGGTCTCACCTGCTTTTGCTTAGGGGTTTGGAATACTATTTTTTTCCGGGAAACTTATTCAGAATCTGCTATTGTTTAGCGGGGTTCGGAATAAACAATGTTTTCGGTGCCAAAATAAAACTATCGAATTTCTCATCTAAGTCAGGTTTGCTTAAAGGATTTTAATTCCAGAGCTCTAGCACAAGAGCCTTTTCAGACCTGGTATTAGAAAATCTGGAAATCCGTGAACTCAGAGCAACCAGATCCATATAAACAAATTTTTCGCGATTATTAGAATCATAGGGTCCGTCAATTTCTGTGGGGTAGTCCAGATCCTCAATAAGGAAATGTTTTGGGGGTTCGGAATAATAATCCACTCCGCCAGCTGCCCAGATTTCCCGGAAAATTGCAAAGGAGTTGTGTAAATCTAAAAGGCCCAGAGCTTTCAGCTATAAACCCAGATACCAGCAAAGCTATGAGTTCGTGAAAGCCAGATACTAACAGAGCTATGAATCCGTGAAATCTGAATTAAACTTATTTGAGTTCAAAAGGCCCAAGGCCTCAAAGACAGAAGGATTCAATTACACATATTTAATTCTAGAAAGCCCAAGGCCTGAAATAATAAAGGATTGAATTAAGTTCATCTAAATTCATAAGGGCCAAGGCCTGAAATAAGAAAGGATGTTAATCAAATCTATTTAGACTATAAAATCCCAGAGATTTGCGCTATAAGGCCAAATACTCGCAAATGCGTGAATTCGTGAAAGCCGCGAAATCTGGTTTCAATTGATTTAGATAGACTGTATTTGCACGAAATTAGAATTTCTATCAGTTTAGAATAGGTCTCCAAATCGGGTCTTAATTAGCTTTGAATACAAACACTAAAGTGAAAAGGAATACCAGCTTCAAGGCTACCACCGAGATTCATGTTTCTATCGATTTTAATCGCGCGGCCAATTTGGGGGGGCGGCCGCAACTGAAGGGAATCGTCAATTGTTCACCGGGGGGAACCCCCGTATACTATTAGAGGGTCTACTCAACAATCATCAAAGAAGTGGAAGTAACACACAAGAACAACGGGCAAAGTGGAGTCCACATGAGCACCTGTTCAGGTTCAGACCATCCCAAAGCCACAAGCCTCTGGCGCTCACGAAATGGATGTCTGCCAGCATCTTGCTAAGTTGGTGGAGGCCACCAAGCCATCTACCCCAGCTTTCGTTCTGTGGTCCACGAATTCCTCTCATGCTTTTGCACGACTCTCACCTGATACCTGCTTGATGCTTTCCTCCTACGGGCTACATCCACACGCCTTCTTGCAGAACATCTGGGATCTCTGGCAAGTGTGCTTCATCACAACCGAGCGGGCAGCGGCGAAGGCATTCCTCATAGCTTGCCTGCTCTTCTGCTACTGCACTTCCAACTTAAAGACTGAAAAGGAATGCAGACCAGTCAACAAACAATCAGAATGCAGCCGACCTTGCCGCGGAAGTGCGGATCTTCGTTTGGCAGGCAACTCCGCAGGCAACGGCTGCATGTTACGTTGGCGCCACCCAGTCGCCGACCGAAATTAAACACCGGGGACAAGGCCTGCAGGGATAAGCGATTAAGAAGCAAAAGCTTGCCCTGAAGGTTGGCTGACGGCCGCCTCATCCACGGATGCCCGTAGAGACTTCGGTGGAATACGATGGCTTACCCCGTCGCCTCAGGAGGGAGTGCGCTGCAGATCCTGCCCCACTTACACGCCAATGTTGCTGAAGACGATTATGGAAAGCCGAGCCTCTGGACACTGCCACCTGCAACACATGCAGCGCGTCTGCACAGCTCTCGCCCACACCTGACTCAGACTAGGTAGAGACAAAAGGTTGCAACAAGACAGAATTGAGCTAGATGGTTTCCCGGTACCAGCCACTTTACCTCGGCCAGTCTCACCTCAGAGTTATGTTATGTGTTGCGCTGTCCTGCACAAGAGACAGGTCTTCGATAACTGACTGCAGAGACGGCCATGCCATGCAAATAGAAAAGAGGTGCATGCCGCCTCCACATGCATCATCGCTCTGCAAAGCAGTGTCTAGACTTGCTTCCAGGGCTGCGTGCAGCCCCAAAAGTTGCACGGCTATGGCACATCTTCCCAGCACATTCATCACAGAACAAACTGAAGAAAGCAGCTGCATGTCAAGTATGCATAAGAAATACATATGTGTCCACGGGTCTATAAGGAAACTTCTCTCAAACGAATACCACACTTCCTGACATGTACTCACGTCATCTGACATCTGGGGCACATTAACGCTTTGAGCACCAAAAGAAACAGCTGCAGGCTTGCAAAGTTTGCCATCTTGAGATGGGGGGTTATAAGTTATATTGAGGTTATTACTATCATCGGGATTATAGGAGTTTTATAGGATTATTATCAGGATTATAGAGGGGGTATAGGTTTTGCCGCGGTTTAGGGTTTAGGGGTTATGCAGCATTTCCAGACAACACCAGCCAAGCTCAAAGGACGAAGATTGGCCTGGGTGGCAAGCTGTGCCAAAGGTGGTGCCTTGGCATACATGCAATACCACTGCATTCACTTCCGCCCCGCCCCCCCCCCATCAATCTCATTTGGAATAGCAGCATGGCATGGCGCTAGGTTCATGATGCACGATTTTTTTTCTGGCCAAGTGTTTCCCTGCGAATGAAGTTGCAAGCCACGGAAAGTGCAACAAAACATGCTTTGCAAAGCCGCTGCTTTCGCGAGCAGTTTGCTGTTCTTGTCAATTATCGTCGACACTCACATGTTTGAAGCAAGTGTGGCTGTCCGTCTGCAGAAAGCACACTTTAACAAAATCAGTTCCTGTTCTTGACCGTTGCTTCACACCACCTAGATCTCTGCAGTCAAACAAGTCCGGGCATTTCCAGGCTGCTTAAAGCGTCCACCCTGGCCAGCCGCAGCAATCCATGTTGTCCAGGACAACCATGAAAAATGCCCTGGATGCCACATGGTAAGCAAAGTAGGCAAGGCAAGACAAGGCAAGGCAGGATAGCCTTGACTTAGGTAAAGACATCGTCATCATTTTCTCTGCTCATCGTCTTTCACATTTCATGTGATCGATTTACTTAACTCTTATGATTTCCATGCAAAATGCAGGCCCTGCAGTTGGGCACGCGTCGGTGGTAAGTAGTATGCGCTAGGTTTTTCTACAGCCCCCCTGGCTGCAATGCAAAGCCTTGACAAGAAATCCAGGGAGCCAGCTGTGGTTCTTGGATTGCGCTCGCTTTTGCTCTCTGGCGAACAGGTTGCAGGACTTGCTGACTAGCTGGCTCTAGCTGACTGCAGTCGAGCAGCAGAAGCAGCGCTACTGCTGCCAGGGTAGAGGACGCTTGGAGGCGCCGATGGTGTGCTCAGACCAGCAGCTGAAGGGGATGGCGACAATACCGAGGAAGTAGTGGATGTGTTGAGGCGGGCCTTGGCGACGTTTGATCCCTGCTTGACATGCGCTCACATTTGCCACTGAAATCCTTTCGGCGCGGCTCTGAGCAACAGACCATCTCCGACTTGATGTTAAATGCTGCGCGGACAATTGCCTGCACGCATTTGACATCCAACAGAGAACGCCGAAACCGAAGCCCATTTCAGTCATCAGACCTCGACTAGACGGAGGCTCTCTGACCTTGCATGGTGACAGTCTCACTGCCGCCGGGCCGTTGGGCTAGCTCAGCTGCCTATCCCTTGTCCGACGCATTTCTGGGGGTGCTGCAGCGACAAGCTTCCATTTTTATCCTTGCAGCACGGACATCATATGAATGAGCATGAATGAGAGCAGGGCATGCAAAGTAGACACAGCAGCAGTGTGCAAGGTTTGCAGACAGTCCCGGTCAAAGGCAGTGTACAGCTGATACACCTGAGACTTCAACGACTGTAAGTTTTCTCTTTTGCTGTGACCTCCCTTTCCTGAATGCCTGCCCCGCAGGTGGGGGATGAAGGCCAAAATGATCCAGAACCTTCCAAGCATTCTGAACGCGTGGTTCTGAGCTGGCAAAGCCCTCTGCAACTTTGCCAGTGGACTCTCGTGATGAACTGGGAAATGGAGCCGTTGTTCCAGGTCAAGGTGCCTGCAGTGCACTGGCGGATGTAGATGTTCTGTAAATCGCTGGGTCCGCTGGCCTCTGCCTTCAGACAGATGCCTGGCACAAGAACTTATGGGGAAAAAGCTGATCGGTCCCGACAGCACCAGCAAGTTTTCATAGTCTTGGTCCAATTCGTGACTGCAGGCTACATAAGAGGTGCAAAGAAACATGCACAGCATGCCCGAAGGTGGCGGTTGCAACTCTATTGAGAGAGCCGTCCTCCACACTCTGGACCTGACACAAACAACCAAAAGGTGCAATCCAGTGAAGAACTTTCAGAACTGTCAGGCTCCGACCATTTTTGCTCTATGCTCTACGATCTCATTCATGCTGAGCCATCGCGTCTGCCAAAGGTCAAAAAGCCCAGGACATGAACCATAAAACAACACTAAACTGGCCGATCAACGGTCCTCGCTGGCTCTTGGAGCACCGCGAAGCGCTTGCAGCCGAGCACTTCCTGGCGGAGCCCACTCTGCGCATCGAACAATTGGCATCAAAAGTTCAAGCGAACAGCACAGAAAGCTCGCAGCAACGAGAGGCTGTTTACACTCCCTTCAGCGAGGCAGTTGCGAAATCGACACCGGCGTGAGTGTCACTCCTTGGCCAGCAAAACTACCCCTTGTCACACCAGCCAACCTCACCATTCTAGGGGTCCTGTTGCAGAAAATCGTGACTGTGAGCAGGCTCTGCAAACCTAATACACTTTCCTGGGACAAGCTGCCACTCACCACTGCGCGTTCGACCCACCGCAGCTGCCACGCGACAGCCCGCAGGCAGCGAAGAGGAAGGGCAGCCCAGTCCACCCTGATCAAGTGCATAAGCGCTCGAAGGCACAGGGCCTCTGCTTCCAGGAAAGCGGCACCCCTGATGTGCTCCCAACATCCGGATTCAAATGTTACGCCTGCAGTACGGGAGTATGCCTTACGCCTTACGCTCAACAGCACGCGGCACCTCTACAAGTGCTGCCAAATCCCCGGTAATCTCGCCAGTAATGGCAACCGCAGCCATGGCTGACTCAGGCAATGCAGCAGCCCAGGCCTGTTGACAGTCAAAGTCAAGATCAAGGGCCAAGGTTCCGAGGCTGCGGGCCTTTACATCCGAAGCATGGATTGGCGTATCCGAAGGAAAGCTCCTCACCTGTACATCACCTGGGGGAAACGCAAAAATCTATCTCCGCATGAAAGCACACAAACGACTCTTTCCGCGCCTGGAGCGACGACAGCAACATGTACCCCGCGGACGTCAGTCTTCAAGAGCACATCACTGCCGAAAGTCACCAAAACCTGCCAGCAAATACTGGATAGTGCATGACACCACCAGCTTCGCGGACATGTCGCAACATCTGCCATGCTGAAATTGATAGTCACTGCTGGTCTTCTGTATCGCCATGTATCGCCTGTGGCCCACTGACACACCTCGGCTTCAGCTGCATCGGAGCATCTGACAGCTTTTAAGCTTGGCAGAGGCCTTAGTGGCTGGCCTAGCCACAGGCCAACTAAGACGAGGAGCCAAGAGCAGGCAGAGGTCAAACGTCTCTCTATCGGCCACTCTTCTGGTGCCACCCACCATCCGTCACCTCTGTAATTCTCAAGTCTCAGCTTACTTCCAATTTCACGTGCAATTGCCCTTCCGTCAAGTAAGTGGGAATCGCCTTGGACACCCACTGAAAAACACCCCGCCGCCGGTGCTGTTCGCCAGCAAATTATAGCAAGCTGCGAGTGAAAGATTTGGAGTCAAGGCAAGATGCTTCTTTTCCAACTCACCGCACTCACAGACGCAGAATCCTGGGCAGCCGCACAGCACAGTCTGATGTCATCTGGGGTGTTGACAGCTAGAACAGCTTAGCACTCCTTCAGTTCCAAAATGCCTGTCCCTTCCAAATTCCGATTTGCGTTTCTGCCTTCTGGATATGTTGCTTCTTCTCAAGCTCGTCTAATTAGAATAATTAGAAATAAGAAGGTCGTTGCCCAGCACACGCTGCTGGTCGGCCTTCCCCACGGACCGCATCACGGTCGCGGCAAGGTTCGCGTCCCCAAGACTATTGGCAAGCTCCTGGTAAGCCTCCAGCAGTACACCAAGCACTTGTCTCGTCATGGTGATTCCCAAGCCTTCTCCCACAGCTTCAATGCACTGCGTGTCACCTGAACAAACACTCGATTCTGAGTTGGGTGAGTTGCAGTTGTGCGCATGGGAGCTAAGCCTTCTCGGCACCTGCTATGGCAGTCGCAGGAACGAAGATCTCTTCGCCGAGCACTCGATGCCACTCTTCTATGAGGGATGCATCCTAGCCATGCGCTACCCTTGAGCACATCCTCAAGAGCAACTTGCCCTCTCACGCCTCCCCCTCACCATCTGCGCGGACGCATTTTTCCCATCCCAGTGCTCTGCGAAGTCTTCCATCTGGACCTGTAATTCAATCGGCACTTTCCACCGGACACGCAGGTCTTGCCAAGGATCCGACCACAGACAAAGCCAGAACGATCTGCCTCACGATCTATGGCATCTTGATCCTGCATCAGGGGGGTTTCGATGTGCTTTTCTAGAGGGCTGGATGTCCTTGAGCACCCACGCTCGGTAGCCGTTAAACTTGGAGAGCACTTCTTCCAACCACTCCTCCAACTGGACTCGAGACCCTATGAATCTTGCAGCAACTTATGACATGTATCTTGCGGGCTTCTGAACTTACTTGTGACGTGAGACCGTAAGCAGTTGTCTGTCCGACGCCCGCAGGCAGCGCCGGCTTACCAATTGCAATCCTACAGTCAGCCTGCAAATTCATTGTGGGGGCTTCGTTTCGTTCCTCCTCGGTGTAGGCTGCATATGCCGGCTCGACGAGTCGGGCCCAAGGCTTGGGCTCGCTCGAGTAATGAAAAATCTTAACCTTCTCTGGACCTCAGGAGATTCTTAGGGTGCTTGCTTCAATGCTCACTGCTCGCGCATCGTACCAGTGTACAAGAAACTTGTGCGCGGCGGGCGGCACCCCAAGTAGCCAGATCGATCAGCTGACTCCACACACTCGGGGTTCAAGGCCTGATTCTGGAGCCATTGCTTGCCCCTTACATATCATAAGTTTTAAAAACTCTGGTGTGCGCGGACCACTTCTCGAAGTGCTGCAGCAGGCAACTGGAACATCCTTCTGAGCAAGGAAAAACCGGAAAGAAAGCTAACAGCCAGGATGCATAGTACATCTGATGTAGCTGAAAGTTGTATGCCACACTGATATGACTCCAGTCAGCCGCATAATATCCTTGGCTGCTGCGTGTCGCAATTCAAGAGGCCGTTTCTTTCCGGGAGTCACACACCAGTGAGGACAAGTTGCTCGACAAGTAGTCCTGCTCTGGGCCGTTGCCCCGGATGTGTTCAGGATGCTTTTCGTCTGCCACCTGTTCTTCTGCGGATTACTCTGCTGCTACACGTTTTGTACCGATATACAACAGTAAAAGAGACACTATTTCACACATAAGAGATTGGGGTCCTCGCCTCAGCTAAGCAGTGGCTGAGTGTCTCCAGACTGGGCTTCAACAGCATCACTCCAGCATTGATACCACCCGACTGACCCCAGCCGAAGGAACCAAAGCGGGCACCGCCGAAGAAGAAACTGCCTCAGCACACAAGGATTGGATAGAAAAATGTGGTGCACATGATATGGTGCTGAAATAAAAGACCCCCTGACCCCTACCTGTGATACTGTCCTTGTTCCTGTTTGAATTTAGGCATGATCCTTATTGCCCAACTCTGAGCATTGTTGCCAATAATGGTCACCCCATCAATGGGCTGTCCTCTTCGCGGAAGCAGCATTGACATGGAATTGTCTGAAGCCTACACCGTAATAGTTCACCAGTGGATTTTGTCCAGGCCGGCCAGTCTTCCGCCCTTCTACCCTCGCGGTGTGGGTGGTTTTCTCTCCCCCCTGAGGGATATGCTGATATGCTCCATCCCTGTGGCTGTTCGCACTTCTAAGATCTGCCACATCGAGAAAAATCACATATGCCCCGGTCCTGGCAGGGCATCCGCCATCCCTGTGACTGTGGGCACTCTTGAGATCTACAACATCAATCATCAAAACAATGACACTTGCTCGGGTCGTCACCGGGACACCCACCATCCTTGTGAGTGTTGGCACGGCTAAGATCTGCAGCATCAAAACCGGTAGCAATTACGATTTTTGCGAGCATCTGTGGCTGCTCACACTTTTGGCTGGCCTAGCGGTTGCCGACACGGCGACATGGAACCACATATAGGGTTTGTATTCTTTTGCAGTTAAAATGGCAATGACAGGGCAAAGCTGGACACCACACCCTGCTCTCGCACCGGACACGGCTCAGTCACTCGTCGGAATCGGCGAGCAAGATTATCCAACAACTCGGATTCCAAAACAGAAATTAACATCCCAGGCTCCATTGATCCGCTCGCCATGAGCATAGCCGCTCCATGGCCCACGGCCCATTGCAGCAGGAGCCTCAAGGTCAAAGAGCTCGTCGACGTTACTGCAGACCTGGAGGTGCCGTGAGAGCCTGTTAAAGCCTGTGACTGGCCACCCTTCATGCACATAGGAGACGATATCCGAAAACTTTGGTGGACAAGGCACTAGTAGGTCGGCATCCATCAACAAAATCTTGTCGTACTCCACCAAACTGAAGACCCTCCAGGAACTGCGGTCTCTACACGTCGCTCTCTGTATGTCTCTTGAAAATCGATAAGACAAGCCCTTGCTGTCAAGGGTGTTCCACAACTTGCCCAAAAGCTTTAAAACCTCGATACTCTGTTCTGAAGAAACGGAGCAATTCCCCAGCCTCAGCTTCGTAAACCTCTGACGTGCACAATGGAAGCAAAATGCGATGGGGCTCCGTTTCTGACATTACTCACAAGAATGGCACCTCGCTCATGTGTACTCATGCGTCTAGATTTGCGGCCTCCTGCCATCCAGCAGACCCTACGGATGCATGTCACACAGGCAAGAATCCATCGGAAGTTGCAATTGAGCAGGAGCTTTGCTAACGAGTAACACGTCTGCAAAGCGCCCAGTGATGCAGTGCCGCTGGTACAATGCCGACACTGCCTCCACATACTCCACCTTATGTCCAGGCAACAATGGAAAACGTTGGAAGAATCTCGGAACATTTCCCGGCAAGCGACTTCTCTCGGGAGCCACCCTGCCTTCCTCAACAATTCAATCGCCTGGGGACAGATCTATCAGCTGTCTCTGTGCTTCCCTCTGCCTCGCCTCATCTGGGACATCACTGGTATGAAGAGCCACGAGGTCATGTCGACTGCCAGACCTTCTGTGCTTTTTGCAACTCATGTTAACATAGTGTCTTAGAACAGAAAGAAACCTTGCGAAAGCAGATTGTCCTACTGGGCTAACTACTGCCAAGGCTTCTCAAACACAGGAACAAGTTCCCCTCCTCCGCAGCGAGCAACCCAAAACCATTGCACCCAGAATGTACTCGGCATTGCGACCCCACAGGCATACCACATAGGCAAACCTGGCAACATGAGCACGGCAAGATGCACCAAATTGCGAACGGCCGCATGACTTGCCTTCCAAAATCATGGCAGTGCTTGAGCAAAAGCTACAGGCATTAAAAATGGCTTGCGCCGCGCAACCTGTGGCCAGCGCTGCCCGCATCCTGGCAATCACACTCGAAAGAAATTCTTGGCCTACGAACTGAACACGTCAACGGATTCTTACTCTCGACCTAAGACATAGGACTCCTTATTGGGTACCGAAAAATGTTCAGGCTAATGAATGCTTTGGGATTCCTTCTTGGCGAAGACATAACCTACATACACATTCAAGTTGATACGTGCATGGACCTGTTTTGAATCTCTGCACTTGGGCATTTTGCTAGGGGAGCTTATGGTTGTAGGCTTTCCACATGGCATCAGAACGAAAAAGACACGATTTCTCCTTTTAGGCTCTGGGAGCTCTGGCTTGGTTCGTTCCATTTTAGGTTTTGGCTTGGCTTGTTTCAGATGTGGAGATGACATCGAGACAAAACACGCTGCCCCACCAAAGCCATTGCTTCAATTCAGACCTGCCCCTAATCCCCGACATCCTCTTTTCTGCTTAAAGCGTTTCCAATTACCAATCAGAACCCCAATCGATGACCATCATGTGCAGTCATGTTCCTGGATCTCAGGACTTTCAGGATGCAAACTCGTATTCAAGCTTAAGTTGTGACCCTTCTTTTTGTTTACCCTTCTGGCCTGACGAAGCTTTTTTGCAGCATTTGGTGCATCCGTGAGAGTCAAGGAGAGCGGGCGCTTGCAGCACGAACAGAATGCAGTCCAACTCACCTGCAAGGATAAAATCTGTTTGCAGCAGGGATATAATGCCACAGCATGCAATCTCCACGCGGCCTCGGTAGATGCTGCTGGATTTGGGACACCAAGCTCTTGCTGCTCATGTGCCGCCTTCTGGGCCTGCCAAGTGGGGCCTGCAAGCATGGCTGTCTGGAGCAGATCGCTGGACTCTCCAACCCTGTGGGCACAGTGACGTGGATGGATATTTGCCTGGCTGGGCCCAATGGACGGTTGTCTCAGCGCACGGCGAGGTGACTTGTAGCCAGCTGGTGGAAAAGCCACTCAAACGACACGCGCCGCGTCCTAAGTAAATTTGGTATACGCAAATCCGAGTAGCATTTAATTGCGTACATCTCTGAACAAGTGTCGCCACAATTGTCTCACTGAACGGAGCACGCTGCGTAGGCCACTCCAGGTGTTGGTGATGCCACCGCTCGTGTCCAGACCATCTTTCAAAACCATGACCGCTTCTACGAATTCTCAAGGCTTCCACACGTTCATCAGCCACGAATGATTGGAAAAATGATAACAACAGCATTGTCCGCGTTCATGCCATCTGCGAACATCAAAACCGCATGAGCAGGCTTGAGCCATTGCAGGAATATTCATAATTGTCCGCCAATTGTTTGCAAGACAGGCTGTGTCCAACGCATGTGAGGTCCTCCTGCGAGTGACTGAGCATCGAGGCCTTGCAGGAACACTCGAAACAGAGCACTCCCAAAAGTCAATTGAAGTACGTCCGCCTCCGTGCGTCCCTACTGTCCAAGAACTTGTCATGACCTGTCCCAGCAACGCAAGTCAGCCTTGCGCTAAAAAAAATGTAAAAGGTGCGCAGGTATTAGTTTACGTGAATGGGTGGCTGTAAGCATATGTGTACACGCAGATCGTACTTGGGACTAGGTAACGCCCCGCCTCAGGGTTTCGCCGGCCAACATTACTACAACCATCAGCATGTGCAGAACATGTCCCTGCCCTTTGAGTGGTGCCTAATGCCTGTGGAACGCCATGTGTCGACAAACCATGTTTGAGGCTGACGGCGCGACTTTGAGGTGGCCGCCACGGAATGCTGCAGAAATTGGTTCAAAACAGCCTTTCACCCTTGAGCCGATGAAGTTAATCTCCTGTTTTGTTCCTTTGTTGTTTGTATCTGGATTGCATCGACTTCCAGGCAGGACCCCTGGAGGGCGCCATTAGGAGACATTAAGCGTCAAAAAGCAGTGAAAGCAAAGCATCCACCATCATCCACTCTTCGGGCACGATTTGAAACATCAACACTACATGGCTGGAATAAATCATTCCTTCATGTTCCACCAAAAACGTAAAACCAAACCCTCATGCAAACCCCACACAAGTCGAACTGACATAATGAGGGCGCAAATTGTTCTTTTTCGTTTAACGGCCCCAAGCACGCGAAGCTGCTGCTGCACGAGCTTGCGCTTGGCGTGCTTCCTCCAGGGCATATGCCGCATCCGAAGTTGAACACATTGCACATGAATTGCTGGCATTGTCCTCTTCGGCAGCACCAACCTTCTCCTTCAATGATTCAGCCAGCTCTTCTGCTGAAGCCACTTCTTGTTTCAGTTCTTGGACTGTACCTTCAAAAGTTTGCACGGCACTCATTTTCGATTACCTCCGAGCACCCACAACGAGAAATGCAGCTGTGCGTCGCTGCGCTACTTCGCTTTGATGTTGCTTCTCTGCTTCGCAAATCTCCAAACCTGGGTCAAAACCACACATGCGCTAACAAATATACCGTTGACAGCGCCAAACGTGTGCTGCACATTTTGCGTTTCCACTGACTTCTCCCAACCACGAACGCGTCGACATGATTTTTTTAGAACATTCAAGTGCTACCAC